AATCTTAAGAAAATTGTAAATCAAGCAAGAAAAACGAAAATTTTATTTTATTCTTCACGTCCAGGATTACGTCCTGGATCATTGGATAGGAATCCAAAGATGAAGAGACAATCTATTTTTAGTTAAATTTAACAATTGTGTTGATAAAAAATAGGTATATTTGTATTTGTTGGTAGAAAGTATATAAAGTCCATACCATTACATATACGAATCTTGCAAGGTGTATATATAAAAACATAGTTTTTCAGGATAAAAATGGAAAAAAAAAAAAAAAAAGTTAAAGGGCTTCAAATGGCAAGTAGAAAAAGGTATCTATTGTAATAACATATATATTATAAGGATAAAAAACGAAAAAAAGAAGGAAAAAAAGGTTGCAAATGTCAAGTTAATTGGGTTGTAAGGGTAAAAAGTGAAAAAAGGGGTTTCTAAGTGGGTGACTTATGAATAGAACGTAAAACTGTAAGGGCAATTTATGTAAGTTAATATCAAAACAATTCAAAGATTAAATTATACCGCAACTACTTCTTGTACATAGTGCAGTTTAGGTAGCACAGTGTTCATATCTCACAAACGAATGTTTACTTATTGTATATATTTATAATAATTTGTGCAATTATAAGAATATACAAAGAAATACAGTACCACTTCTGATGATATGGAATCAAACAATATTTAACATCCAAGAAAAAAATTATTAGTTAAATCAGTTAAACAAGTATATTATCACTAAAAAAGTAATTAGAAAAACATTACTACTCGGTTTTGTTGCTCATACCTAGTCCTGAGCATAATTTCTCTACTAACAGGTTAACAGGTTTAGTTTTTATTGTTTCTAGATGGTACTGGAAAATAAATACACTCATTTACCTTTATCGCATCCAAAGCATCTAATGTTGGAGTCGAGCCACAACTATTTTGTTGAACCCCTAAGCTTACATCATCTGGGGCATGGTTCCAAGACCCATGCTGTAAGTCAAAGTGTGCTTGTAGCTTTGCCGGTTGGGAGCCCATCAGATCTATGGTTGCCTGCAGTTTATCAATAGTTTCGTTTTCATGTTTTTTCCTCTTTTTTTTATCAGTCCCTTGCATCCATTTTCTCAATCCAACATCATGACCAACAGCCCTGGTACGGCCCGGGTGCTCCGGTCCTATTACCTTTGTCAACAAGTCCTCACACCAAATCTCCTTCAGAGATTTGAGTCTGGACATCAACCTGTTAACGAAAACAGTAAACCAGTGAGAGTAATTACTTAGATATAAATGATTAAAAGAATTTGCGTACAAGCTTGTCCACTATCGGTTGTATGGTAGGCGGTATTATGTTCCACCCCAACTCATTTTTAGATCTTCTACCCATAACAAAATGCAGTGAACGCTCGCTTTTTATCTGATACAATTGGGGTGTCAATTGACCAGATGCCATCTCTTGTTCCCACTCAGCTTTCTTGCCCCTGTAACCAACCAACTGGTCCTACACGGGCAGGATTCTTATTATGCATTGAACTCGCCCTCGCTTTCTCACTTATCTCCTGCAAATGAAATTAATTAACACAGTTAAAACAATGCAACACAATAAGTAATATAATTACGTGCAATTAAATTCCAGAACACTTGGAACTCCTCTGATGATATTCTCTGTCTAAAGCTCTGCAATGTACTTCTTTCCAAATATGAGTAGGTCTCAAGTGGATCTCTTTGGTTATCACATTTCTTTTTAAGCCTTTTCTTGAAGGCTCTCCAATTGCTGTTGCATGTTCTAAGCACATCTTTTTTACGGTTGTCATGCATTCGGAATATTCCAACGTTTCTGTTTTTGTTTTAGAATAAGGATACTAAGTATTAATAACACATCTTGATTAGATGAAAGTACATGTAATGGGTCTTATGTAGATAACGAACCTTAATTGTCGACCATAGCATATCTTTTTGAGCAATTGGCACTTTCTTCCAACTCGTATATTCAACAGAAATCATCGACCTCGTAATCACACCACACTCGTTAGCAAACTTACTTTGTTTCTTCCCAACATGCTGACCAGTATTGTTGAAATCAACTTCTTGTGACTCTTTATGGTCGATTAGTCTTGTGTCTGTTCTTTTTTTCCTCGGTTGTGGTTGTGGTTGTGGTTGTGGTTGTGGTTGTGGCTGTGGTTCTGGTTCTTGTTGTGGTTCTACTTCTTGTTGTGGCTAATCATTCATCATATTTATTCTGGAGGAAATATATACAGAATAATATGAGACATCATAAATGTTACACCTCATGTGTTGTTACAGTACCTGCTTTTTAGATAAGTGTCAAATTTTCAACTGTTCACAAACTGCTCCAAAATGCAGTCTTTAAATTAGTTAGCAAATAAATCATATAAAGTTTAGAGTACAAACAAAGTGTTCGTCTATATAAGCTGAAATAACATGTATAAAATCACTTGTTACCTGATACAAATTCATAATCACAAGATGTATGCATTTTACTTGTATTTCAATTCATACCTACAACATATTTCGATTTTTATTTCTTAGCATCAAAAAAACAATTCACCCAAACTATGGATTCATTAAAAAAACATATAAAATTCTATTAATACCTAAGAGATATAAAGACCCCTACTAGGTTTCAGTTTCAATTTCAAGTGACTTGAACTTAATAAAACCTTATACAAATCAGGGCAGAACCAGGAATTTTCGACCGGGGGGGGGGCACATTTTTTTCCTGATAAAATATAAAAAGAAATACCAAATTAACAAGAAAATTCACTGGTCATATAAAGAGTAATATACAAAGAGGTTCAGTTGCATTCATATTACAAAGTTTTGATCCTGAAAAGTTTATAAATTCCTCCATGAACATCAACAACTAAAAATAGAAAAAACAACACTGATCAAAAGGAAAACGTCAATGTATGTTGTGTCCATCCACATCATATTTTAGATATAAGCCAGAAAACACTGAAATATTGTTAGTCGTGATGAAAGAGAGACAATTTGTTTCGATCTAGTCCTTTAGGCATAACATCAAACACTTGGAAGGCATAATGAAATAACCCTTAACACTTACCAATTTCCAACAATAAGGATTACCCACATGACTTGAAACTTATCAACAATTGCAAATGAGATTGATTATGAAAAAATGAAACAACAATACGAGGTTAAGATTGAGAATAGAAGTGGGTTAAGTTTGAATCGAGCAGATAGTCTAGCTGAATGAACAAACAGTGAGTCGATTATGAAAAAATGAACAAACAGTGAGTCGATTTTGATCAACTAAAATTGAGTGCGAAAGTGATTACTTGAAATAAACACATAGAAAGCCAAATCCGAACACGCATAAATTAAACCAAAACAGAGGATCGGAAATTCAAGTCACGTAAACGGATTCCAAAACTTGATACAAAAAATGAGTTTTAGTCGAAATCTTACAGCAATACGTAGCGTTTCTTTAGTGAATATAGCAGCCAGAAAACTTCGATTTCATGTTGATTTAGAGAGTCGGTGTTTGCGATCGGTGGTTTTCAAAGTTGTAGAAGCAGATAGTACTCATAGTAGCTTCGGAATCACGTGAAGGGGCGGTATAATGAAAATTTATGGCGGGATCGATAACAAAAATTGATAGCGGTATTGTTTTATTTGGTAATATATGTTGCAAATTAATTTTTATGGAAATCAGAGGCTAAAAAAAACATAATGATCAGTTATATCGTAAATTTAATTTGTTTAGCTTAATTGCATATCTTATCCCACCCAAGCAATTTATAAGCATATGCCTCAAACATTATTTTGGGAGATTAAATGTCATTCAACTATTAGAGTGAATCATTACGAGTTTTACAAAAAAAATAAAAAAAAAATCAATAAACTTTATAGATTCAATTCATTATTTATCAAAAAAAATATAATCAAAACTTATATAGATATTGGTTACTTAAAATAAACAAATTTTTTTTATAAATAAATTATGCAGATATACTCCACCGTTTGAATAAAAAAATATCGAAAGAAATTCAAGAACGGTGAAAACCCTATAATGAATATTACCACCGTTGCTCCACCGTTTCCAGCTATACTCCTCAGTTTTCAGCTCATCTCCGACGACCGTGTCTCCTTTCTTTACATCTCTACTAATTGGACCTCTCGTCTTCTTAAATGTTCAGGTAGTTTTATTGTTCTTGGGATCTTGAAATATGATGAAGTAAAGAGCAATATTGGTAATTCTTTTTTGAAAATTGAAATATAACAAGATAAGAGATAAAGTTTGGGAAGTGAATAAAAATGAAAAAAAAAGAAATGAAGATTGACAATAAAGTAACTTTATGATATTTTCAATTTTTTCATATTAATCTTATAAATTATAATTAACTAATATATTAATACTAATGATAAAAAAAATAATATTTTTAAGAAGTGAAATTTTAGAAAAATACTAATACCCACATTCTACTTTATGGATTGCACAAATTGAAAATATGAACTTCCAAACATTTGCTAATTAAATTAAAAATTACATTTACTGTTTATGTGTTATATTAATTTTTTTTAAATCATCTGACTGCTAATTCATTTGTTTACATCTTTTTGACAAAACTTATAATTATAATGTTAATTTTTTATTGTCTGTATATGTTACAAATTGTTACACTCCAAACTAGGTAATCACTCTTTTCCCTTTAAATGAATTTATTTTGCAAAAATGGTCTCTTTTTGTACGATGGGCATACTTAAGAGTACGCTTAGCGTAATGAGGTAGAATGATCGCGAATGTGCACCATGTACGCGGGGCGTACGAAAGGGTACGTGGGGGCGTACATGGCAGATGGCCAAAACCCTAATATTCGGACTTGTGACCTATTTAAACACCCTTAAGTCATTTGTACCTTACCCTAGCCGGCCTCCATCACTCTCAAGTGTCCCTAAAACCCTAAAATCCTTTGTGTGTGTTTCTTGAGTTTGTGAGTGCCTCAAATACCTCATTCTTGGTGTATTAGCAAAATAGAAGAAGTGGAAGCAAGCTTAAACGAGGGAAAGGTTGGATCTTGCATATAGAGCAGCTTAGGAAGCTTGGGCCATTAAGCACATATTAGGGTTTTGGTCTCTGCAAGTGTACGCCCCGCGTAAGGGGGAGTACGCCTCACATACGCGGTCAACGCCCTCGTTTCCAGTCAATGCGAGGCTTGCGTACGCCCCGCGTAGCTTCGGGGTACACCCAACGTACGCCCTCTTATGGGTTTTGCGAGTTGGGCTTTGGATTTCGGCCACCTTTGGGTCAATTTGGCTTGTGCCCTTGCTGGACTTTCTGAATAGACCCGAATTATGAAATGACCCGAAACAAGGTGTTACAATGTTACTTAATCATGAAGCTATTTTATTTAAAAAAATAATTAATATAAATATAAGAGTACATATGGCAAAAAACAATACTATATCCTATTATACTAAAACTATTGATAAAGCAAGGTATCGCATTCAAAGTCAAACTGAAACTAAAATATTGAAATACATTAAATAAAATCTAAACAAACTTTGCTTGGAAATTTTGTTACACATATTTGGTATTTGATATTGTAATGTATTTTGTTGTGATTTTGTCCTGCAAATAAAAGAAAATATGTTAATACAATGGTTGTACAAGATTACTACAAATTTATAATCATATTTGTTTGTTTTGTATCAAATAATTCGTTTATTACCTTTCAAAGTACATGGTTTTATGACACTGTTGAGAGAAAAACTTGAGACACACTTGAACAAACGTTAGAACAAGTATAGTTGCGGAATAGTCTATCTCAAAGGATCTAAAAGCTCAACAATAATAATAAGTTAAAGAGTTAGATAATTAGAGTGTTAGTTGCGGAAATGTAAGGAAATATAAATGACAGCAGGTGTTATATCAAGTATACACATAAGTTGATT